CCCCCCCCCTTCCTCTTCACCATCACCGTGATAATAAAGAACATAATCATGATATGTAGGAGTGAACTGCATCCATTGTAGAACATAGAATCTGTTAGGGCACGAGTAAAAATACAGCACAAGGGAAAATGAGCAAGTGATTGTCTGACCTGGTGGATTGTGTCATGGTAAAAGTCATTTAGCATGATTGTCACATGTTCTTGTCGTCCTCAACTTCCCAAACTATCTGGCTCAATTTCACTTAATTCAGGCTTTAAAATAATCTCAAAATGTCTGATCCTTTACTTATTTCCTCAAATGCCTTTATCATCGTCAAAAGTTGTTTCATTGTTCCATAATTAGACTAAATTCTAAGATCAAGCTAAAAATTCACATGGATGTCATGTCACTTGAATCAACATGAAAAGAACTATAAAAGAAAAGAAAACTAAACAAAAACGGCTAAAATAACATGAGGTTGAATTAAATAGATGGTAAAAGGGTTTGAACAATAAAACAAATAAAATAAAAACCTGGGTTACAATCCTAGAACAACCGAATGGCACTAAGCGAGTTAATAAGACTAAATGAACTAGGCAAAAAAAAGGATAGAAGGGTTTGAGTCACAAGACAATATCCGAATTACAACCTTGAAATAACTCCGATAACATAAATGACAACAAAATGAACTACCAAGACTCCTTCCTGACTAGCCAAGAAATGATTGTCTTTCCAATTACCAAGCTCGACATCTTAGCCATTGAGTTGCACATCGACACTACTAGGACCTTTATAGGTCTCAATCACATTTACCTAAGCAAATGGCTTTTGGGTCATTTTACCAACTCGTTCTTAAGATCGACTTCGCGGCAAATGGCTTGCCAAGGAACTTGGAAGAGCTCTCGTATCCATTTTCAACACAAATCATGCGCACCTTATACGTCTCATCATGAACAAGTAATGGCTTTTGGCTAGTATCTGTTGCATCTGGATTTTGCACGATAATGTCACCTGCATCAATAAGCTTCTGGACTATTCTTTTCAAATGTCAACACTGCTCTATTTAGACATCAGGACAATACGCGCATCTCAGAAAATAATCAAGGTTCTTTGGAAGGGGTTCGACATTTTAAATAAATCGGCTTCAACATGTCCAATCGACTCAACTTTTGGAATAAACTGGCATATGATTCTCCAATAGGAGTGGAAGACTTTTCTCTTTGCTGCTGCCTTTTCATTTGTCCTCTGGCCTCGGTTGGAACCTCTTGCCGGTAAGTGATTGATATGCTTATGGAGGTGGTGCAAGCCATTGCTGGTCTTGAGGAGGTAGAGCATATGGCGGTGCATTCTGGATAGAGTAATGGGAATGTGAGATATGACTTTGGGGATTTTGTGGGTTGGGGAGGATTATTTGGAGTGTGGAGAACAATAGATTTACACAAGAATTAAATCTACTCATTGACTCCTCATATTATTCTAACACACCAAAGACAAAATTATTCACTTCTTGAGTCTCCAATCTGAATAAAACTCTGAATTTATTACTAGAATCAGTATCCAAAAAAGTTGTCTAGAACAGAAAAAAAACATCAAAATAGAGCTGAGATACCATCACTTTGACTAGACTAATGAAATATATGTATACATACGTAGAAAGTAATTAACTGGAGAAAACAAAATCAGCAGAGAACTTCCATTTATTTTTTCTCCTTCAGTACTAAAGTCTAAACACACCCAATTTACTACTACTTAAATCCCAAATAAACCAAAAGAATACTAAAAATAAATATTAAAAAAAAGTTTATCCTACCAGAAACAAGAAGATGAACACCCAGTAGTATAACAATTATAACTGGAATTGTGAAGTCGGCGAAAAACCCTTCTTCTTCTATAGCCAAAGATACCATATTTGAGCCTCAACCAAACCAATTTTCTGATTTTTCTTGCTGATTTGAGCTTTACCCATATCACCCTTTTCACTCTAAAGAATGAATTTTTCATCTTCTCAGTAACACTCTGCTTCCTGCTGAATTGGTAGCTTCTCAAGAAAAGTTGCCTCTTTTCTAAATCAGTGTACCCTGTTTCTGTTCTGAACATGTTTACTGCCCCATAAGATATCTGTTTTACAGCCATATTGTCCATAGAATACATGTATAGATATACTGGTCTTCTGTATATATATGTTGAGAGAGAAAGTAAGAGAGAGAAATAGGAGTTTAATTTGCAGTGGGAGAAAGAATTATAGGGTTAGCGGTATATAATGGTCGTGATATATAGGTGAAGAGAGAGGGTTAGTTGGAGTCTGAATGCTCTTTATATTTTAGGCCATGCTCCGTATTAATTAATTTAATGCCATCGTGGGGATGTGCCTACATTTTAAATGTATTCGACTTTTTTTTTTTTTTCAAAAATTTTGCCATACTTACTTTATTTTTTGACAAGGAAATTTTCTTTTTAAATAATGGTGGCATATTTTGAATCGGCTTAGAATCTCCACGAAAATTCGATTTGATATCTGCTTTAGCTCTTATTAAGTGTTTGATAATATTATTTATCAAATTTAAATAAATAAAAAATCACCTTACTTTTTTCAATTAGAATTTGGACTTAAGCCTTACATGATTTTCTATCATTTCACTACCCTTCAGATTACGCCTTAGGTGCTACACAAACACAAGGAATTATCGAAATTTGGACAAATGAAAAATCACCTTATGTTCCTTAGTAATTATAGTCTTCTTTTCCCTTTTTTCATTTACTATATTTTTTAAGTGGTCACGTGAATTTGTGGGTGTCGTGAGAAATTAGAGCAAATTATGGAGAGAGAGTCACGTGACTTGGAAGGGGTTATTTTTGTTATTTTTGCATGTTTGGCAATTTAAGCAGTTAGGATCTGTTTTTTCTATTTGAGACGTGGGATAACTCACCCACGTCAGTTATTTTTTATTTCTTGATTTTGCACTTTCTTCTTTTTCCTTTTTTGTATTTTTCGGGGAAAATGTAAAAATTTGATTATATATTTTCCTTGTTTTGATTTATTGCAAGAGTAATGAAAGCATGATAGGATCTTCTCCCATTTAATTTTCTTCGTTCATCAGTTATTCAAGCATGTAATTTGAGGATGACACACGATTTATTTGTTAGACAATAAATGCTTTATAGCCCGTTTGGCAAAACTTTTAAAATCAGCTTATTTTGAGAAGTGTTTTTCACAAAAGTACTTTTTTAAAAAGTATTTTTGGTGAGAAGCAGCAATTTGAAAAGCATTTTTGAGTAGCAATTAGTGTTTGGTCAAGCTTTTGAAAACTGTTTCTAAGTGTATTTTTCTCAAAAGTGCTTCTCAGAAAAGTGTTTGGGAGAGAAGCTAATTTTTTCTGCTTCTCCAAAATTGTTTCTGTTTCTCCTCAAAAACACTTTTTTCCTTCCAAATACTTGGCCAAAAAGGCCAAATACCTCAATTTTTGGCCAAAAAAAGCACTTTTGGCCCAAAAAAAAGCTTGGCCAAACAGGCTATTAGTCTTCCAAATTAAGTCTCTAATTTCCTTTTTATCTGATATTATAATTAAACTTTCACTTTTGTGGATAGATACACGATTTATTTGTTAGACAATAAATGTTTTAGTCTTCCAAATTAAGAGGGTGTTTGGCTAAGCTTATAAGCTGGTCAAACTGGCTTATAAGCACTTTTGGCTTCTTTACACGTTTGATAAAATTAAAAGTGCTTATAAGTTAAATGCTTATAAACCAAAAATAAGCCAAAAGTCATAAGTTTATCTCCCCCAACTTATCAAATTTCAGCTTATAAGTACTTTGGATTTGACCAAAATATTTACTATTCTATCTCTAAAGTACTTCTTTTTAAAACAAAACTCTTCGTATAACCAGTTCTTCAGCTGCTTATTATTAATTTCAGTACTTTTATCCAAACATGTAACTGCTTATTTTTTAAATCAACTTCAGTACTTAAAAGTGTTTTTCAGCACCTAATGTTTATCAGCCACTCTACGTCAGCTAAGCCAAACGGGCTCTAAGTCTCTAATTCCCTTTTTATCTGATATTATAATTAAACTTTGACTTTTGCGGATAGATTCTTTTTTTTTATTTAAGTATGAACAAATATGTCGTGTTATTTGTTTTCAATAACTTGAAGTACTTATGCCCGCAAATTAAGATCTCCTCTCGTATTATAATAATGCAAATCCAATAAAAATACTACATCGGCAATCATATTCGCTTAATTAAGTGTTTGTTGATATAAAAGATAAGATACACTAGAAAAATCGATGAAAGATTGCCCTAATTGTTTGCGCTAAAGACGTTAAAGAATTAAACAGGAAATGAATTATACTAGATTAGAAAAAATCGTAATTTAATTTATGATACTAATTTTCACTAGATTTTTAGATAAGAGAATGCAGATGTAATTGAGAGAATTTTTTGTATATTTTTTTTATAATGAAATCTGTACAAAACTTGTCCTTGTATACAAATAAAAAGAATCTTTCAATAACTAACTATGCTACTTGGCCTATGACTATTAGCTATTCTATAACAAATTTATTGGATAGAAACAGAAAGAATAATTTATCTACGAGAAACAAAAAAATTTGCACACGTTGTCGGGAGAAATTTAAAAATAGCCAGATTTACATCTGGTCATTCAAAAATAGCCCAATTTCAAAAGTAATCGAAATTTAGCCATTTTTCATGTAAAGATAAATCTGAGCGAAAATACTGTTCAAAACCCGAAAAATACGCTTGTATATTATACTGGAGTTCCAGCATAAATATGCTTGAACTCCAGCATATTATACGGGAGTTCCAGGATAACTATGCTGGAACTCCAAGCATAATATGTTGGAGTTCCAGCATAAGTACACTAGAACTCCAGCATAATATACTGGAGTTCCAGCAAGTATAAATGTCCAGTATAATATACT